ACTGTTGCAGCATCCCCACAGTCACGAGAGGCCAGGCGAAGAGATGTGTGCCTCGATGTGAGTGATGTTGCGTTGATCACACCCACCCAGTCACATGACCACCAAGCCACGCTTGCCAACTGAGCCACGACCACTGAACCGCTTGTTAAAAAATTTGAGTCCCACATTTTGCACTCACAGCCCCCTGTACGTGTCAAGCTGTGGTTTTCATTCCAATATGTTCCACGCAGAGGAAAAACGATGGCCCGGAGCCGTTCGAAGGCTCCCGTCTTTGGGTTTGAGCAGTATCAAAATACAGGATATGGTGGCGAGGGTTTTTTTTTGTTTTTAAAGGGAAAATGGGAACGCAGGAATGAGAACGAAGAGGTCTGTCTGGAGCGGAGCTTACAAAAGGGGAATTTCAGCAAAGGGAACGGCCTGGAAGCCGACACCAAAAGCTCCTGAGCCCTTGGGGTCCTTTCTGGAAATGCAAAACAGATTCGGGGGAGCTTTAACTGGGCTCTTTATCTCATGCAGGTAGTCCTCGACTTACGACCCGCAAATGAGCCCAATGTTTCTGTTGTGAAGTGAGGCGTTTTTGAAGCGAGTTTTGCCCCATTTTACAACCTTTCCTGACAGAGTTGTTAATTGAATCACTGCAGGTTTGTTAAGTTAGTAACATAGCGGTTGGGTGAATTACTACAGTAGGATAGGAATAGGAATAGAATAACAGAGTTGGAAGGCACCCTGGAGGTCTTCTAGTCCAACCCCCTGCCTAGGCAGGAAACCCTACACCACTTCAGACAAAGGGTTGATCCAATCTCTTCTTAAAAACTTCCAGTGTTGGAGCATTCACAATTTCTGGAGGCAAGCTGATTAATTGCACTAACTGTCAGAAAATTCCTCCTTAGTTCTAAGTTGCTTCTCTCCTTGATTAGTTTCCACCCGTGGATTCTTGTCCTGCCTTCAGGGGCTTTGGAAAATGAGTTGACACCCTGCCCCCTTCTTAGGAGCAGCCCCTCAAATATTGGAAGACTGCTGCCATGTCTCCCCGGTCCTTCTTTTCATTAAACTAGTAGACGTACCCAGTTCCTGCAACCGTTCTTTATATGTTTTAGCCTCCAGTCCCCTAATCCTCTTTGCTGCTTCAGATTTTGAAACCAGATCATAAATCCCTTTTCGAGAGGCCGTTGCAACTTCAGAGCAATCTGTTATCAGTTGAGGACCATCTGTAGGACTCGATCAACTCACAACAATACTGTACAACCCTGCAACATATTGCTTTACAGGTAGTCCTCAAACTGCAACGGTGACTTTTAGTGACTTTTCACTCTAGTGAAAAAAGTGACTTTGACCATTTTTCAATTTATGATCATTGCAGCATTCTGTGGTCGTGCGATCAAAATTCAGAAGCTTGGCAACTTGTACTTACGACGGTTGCAGCGTCCCGGGATCACGTGAACTCCTTTCGCAACTTCTGACAAGCAAAGTCGAAGGGGAAACCAGATTCACTTAACAAACGGGTAACTGATTCACTTAACAACTGTAGCAAGAAAGGTCGTAAAATGGGGCAAAATTCCCTTAGCAACTCTTGCTTAGCAACGGAAATGCTGGGCTCAATTGTGGTCATAAGTCAAGGACTACCTGCATTGAGGGTTGCGTCTGAGTTGCACTTAATGAAAAGGATTTAACAAATAAAATCCCTTCCGCAATTCATAGCCTTCTCATAAACATCCTGTGTGATGTTTCCTGGTCTCCTCTATGCATGTAACGTATATTAAAACGTTGAAAAGAGAAGAAAAGAAACCCATAAAACCCAGAAAGATAGAAAGTGAAAAGGCAAAGAGGGAAAGGAGGAGATCAAAGGGGAAAAAGTACAAGAAAAGAAAAAAGTTGAAGAAAAAAATAGAAAGAAAAAGTCCGCTTTTCTCTGAAGTGAGTGGAACTTCCTCCCAACTTTTCCTTGGGTGCAGGTAGTCCTCGACTTACAATGGTAAGTGAGCCTGGAATTATGATCGCTGTGGCTCAATTTTATGACATTTTGGCTGGGGTGGTTTATTCATTAAATTTTAATGCCAGTTGTTCGGCGTATGCCATAGTTGCTAAGTGAACACTGTGGTCATTAAGCGAACGCATTATTACCTAATGGGCTTTTTTTCTTTCCTTTTTGGCTGCAAACCGGAAGTAAATGCCGGTTTCCCACAAACAAAAAGTTATAACTTGTGATCATGGGATAGTGGGACTCTGCAAACAACGGTAAATCTGGGCCGGTTACCCAGCACCTAAAATGTAACGCCACGATCCTGGGAAGGGTCACTGGAACTGTGAACCCAGGTCGAAAGTAGCTCTGGTGAGGTCCAGTGTTACTCAGACTGATTGCTGAGCAACTGGTCATAAGTTAAGGACTATTTATGCTATCTTCCCTTTCTTCCTTATAACTTTGCAAACCTTCTTGTCTTGCTATTACTTGGTTTTCTAAGCTGTGACGTTCCCGATCCTTCAAATCTTCTGTGTTTTGCATGAAAAGGTTTATTATCAGAGTTTATTACAATTTTAAGAGGAGATCTTGCTCCAGATTTGATGCATGATTTGGGCCAGATTTGATGCATGATTTGGGCCATAATTCCCAGTTGCTACTGTCTCAGATAGATTGCCAAGCGGGGAAAAAAAAAAAATTGGCCGAAACAAAATTATTATGAGAAGTCTGCCCTCTGGTAGTCTTCCCAATGCATAGCAGCCCCTGAAATATCCTGTGTTAGGAATACTAAATATTCCTATTAAATATTATTTGCCTCTTGAAAAAAGCACCTTTGGGACAACCACGACCTGGATGACTGAGAGTCTCCACAGACATCGAGCCCAAAATGCCTGTTGCTAAGCGAGACAGTGGTTAAGTGAATTTTGCCCTGTTCTACGACGTTCCTTGCCATAGTTGTTAAGGGAGTCCCTGCAGCTGTTAAATTAGTCACGCGGTCAGTTGACGAATCCGGCTCCCCAATTGACTTTTCTTGTCAGAAGGTCGCAAAAACCACGTGACTCCGAGACACTGCAACCGTCATAAATATGAGTTGGCTGCCAAAAAAACCCTTAATTTCGATCATGTGGCCACGAGGAATTCTGCAACAGTTTGGGGAGTAGGGAATGGGTGTCATGTGATCACCTTTTGCAGCCTTTCCTAGCTGTCTTCTGACAAGCAAAATCAACGGGGGCAATTTTGGGGTTTGCTTAACGACCGTGAGTCCCACTTAACAACTGCAGTGATTCGCTTAACATCTACGGCAAAAAAAGAAGAAGAAAAAAGATGAGGTGAAACTCAGATAACCACCATCTTGCTTAACAATGGAAGCTTATCCCCAGTTATGGAAGGCTACTGGTATTCCCTCTTGGCCTTCCCAGGCACCTGCGGGATTTGGCTCATTCCACGCCCAGCTGCAACGTCCAGCAGCACCTAACTGACCCTGCTGGGGTTTTTTTTTGCATAGGAGTTTGGCTCATGGAGTGCAAGCTGCCTGGGAGTGCCAGGGGAAACCATCCAAACCATGAGAAAGCAAAAGTTGGAATATTTCGGGCATGGGATGCGGCAGCGGGAAAAACTACAGGCTCCTTCGCTGAATCCTCCAGGGAAAGGTGGAAGGCAAAGGAGGTCCAGGCAGAAGAAGGAGAATATCGTGGCCCCAGAATCGAAGGGACCAGTTTGGACAAAGCTCCACAGCCCTTTTTTCGTGCTGCTGTTGATCAAAATAGGATCGGCAACATGATCGGCAACGTCCGATAATGGATATGTCAGGAGAAGGAGGAAGAGGAGGGAGGAGAAGATGACTGTGGAGCCCTTGATATTCTCTGGGCTTGGTGGTTTTCTTGCACATGTTTCATGACCCAACTAGGGAACATCATCAGTGCTAGGAGGGAGTGGGGTTTGTGGAGAGGAGGAGAAGAATATGAAGAGGAGGAAGAGAAAGAAAAAGGAGGAGGAGGAGGAGAATATGAAGAATATGAAGAGGAGGAAGAGGAAGAAAAAGGAGAAGGAGAAGGAGGAGGAGGAG